TTTTTTTTAACCTCTGGCTGTTCAGTACTTACCTTTGTACCATTTCAAGCTATTCATAGGACTTGCACGACTTGAATTGCAATAAATAACTGGAAAAATTAGGGTGTTCTAAAACTTTTGACCAGTAGTGTATATTTTAATATATAAGTCGCAAACCCAGCCAAAGGATGACAAAAAATGCGACTTATAGTCTGGAAGATACGGTAAATATTTTACCACCTGCTTCTCATAAAGTGATTACCTCAAGAGTGTCGTCTACTGTAAGCAGAACCCTGGTAGTCAGGTTGTTTATCCCTCTAGATATTTTTAATTTATTGTGACGGTATTTCTGTATTTGAAAGTCTACTTTGAAAGATACAGTATTTCATGGAAATAAAATGTTATTTCCTAGCGTCGGAATGTAAGGTTTTCCCTTCAGTCGTTCCAGCTGTGGAGCCTCAGCCAGGAGGTCCCACAGCATTTGGCTGCGACCAGCCCTGGGTCAGTTTGGACAGTCTCCCGAAGTTGAAGTGTCGCTTCAGTTGTATGTGGAACACCACCTTTCACCCGGACCTCAACACTTCCCGGGTCCAGAAAACTCAACAATTGAAATGCTCTATTCCTTTTCTTGTTCCTCTCCTTATCTTTTTGTCCAATAATCTTGGTTTCTACTTTTGTGACTCCTTTGCTTAGACACATAGTCAAAGTCTCAAACAAGGTAAAAACTCGTTTGGCTGAATTTTGCTACCTAAATTAGACCTCACTGTCAAGTACCTGAATTAGGTATTATGTAATCGACAATGGTTGCTTTATCACAACTCACAAGACAACAACATTGTAATGTTTTAAACCTAAAAAAAAATATTTTCCTGCAGAAGACACGTCAATCAAAAATGAATTACCGTATTTTCTGGATTATAAGTCGCTCCGAAGTATAACCAGCCAAAAATGCATAATGAAGAAGAAATAAAACAAAAATAAGTTCATCCAGAGTATAAGTCGCACCAGCTAGCTATAGTGCCCTCTAGCGGCTGTCAGTGCGAAAATAACAAACGTACTGTACATTTTCAGTGGTACATGAGTAGCAGCTACTGATACAGAAGCCTAGAGTGCCCTCTAGCGGCTGTCAGCGTGAAAATTACAAACATGTAAATTTTCAGTGGCACAAGAGTAGCAGATACTGGTACACAAGTATAGAGTGCCCTCTAGCGGTTGGCAGTGTGAAAATAAAGAACATGAAATTATATATTTTACTATATAAGTCGCACCTGAGTCGCAAACCCAGTCCGGAAAATACGGTACTATACTTTTTGTTTTAGAAGAAAGCTATGGAACAACAGTTTTTGCACCAATGTGATGTACATTTTAATTTTGCTGCATTTAATTTATTCAGAACCTCACACACAACCGTTACACTTAGAACAGTCTGAATTATTCCCTACAGGTTTGACATCTAATGTAGCCCTTGTGTCAGTTTTGTGAAAAGGTGTTTTACTGTAAAAGGTCGTTGTTGCTAAAGAACAGGCACAACATGGTTCTATGTGTCGAAAAAGGAGGGGAAACACTATTGATAGTAGCAATCGATGAAGAAGACAACGGTCAATGTGCTCATATTTTGTGGTGCAACAGTGACAAATACTTTTTAAGTGATACAAATGTGGACTGACTGTCTTTCCTTCATGTGCAGTATCAGTGAGATATAGTATTCCCAGCTGTTTTTAATGGTTTCATGTGTACGCATAGACACAATGCGCCGTATTATTCAAGGAACGCTGAGATGAATGCATTTGTGTGACAAAACTGAAATCAGGTTTTTCTTGGTGTAGTAACTTTCTAACGTGAATTAGCACTTGGAGACTAAAGCAAGTTACAACACATTAAACTATTATGTCTCATTTCTGTCTCGCTAATTTATATTGATATTCCTTTGATTTTTTTTGTGATTCATTTTGTCAAAACGATGGAAAAAAGGAGAGGGACTAGGGATTTGTTTTCGTCACGTAAAAAAAAAAAATTAAATGTCACACTGAATGTGCTGTCAATTTAATTAAATCAGAATTGGTGAGTCATATTTACCAAGGAAATGGAAATTTGAAATGGCCCGCAAAAAAAAAAATGCATTGCTGCCTCTCGACTGAAGACTTGATTTAAAACAGACTAGATTACAAAAAAATGTCGCTGGTTTATTTTAGGACCAGGATAGATTAACTGACAGAGAGGAGAGGGAAGCCTTTCACTTTCAACCGAACGAAATACGTTTCAGTTAGCTGGCAAAGGTTTTACAATAATTTTAGGGTATTTGCTAACGTCAGCGAAGAAGTACTTTTAAGTTGAGAGCACTGAGTATTTACTAGAAACTAAAAAGTTTGAGGAAATCCTTCACTTTTTTTACTGTAGAAGGAAAACTGCATCAAAGTTCATCAGAGCTCATTGGTACTTTGTTGTCTTTTTTAAATAACTCCCTAAAGGTCTTCGAGAAACCTACTCTCACTTTGTTGTCTTTTTTAAATAACTCCCCAAATTCAGTTCTGATGTGAACTGAAGAAGTCTACTCTGTCCATTTGCCCCTGATGTAACTATTTCTAGAAGACTTAGTGAGCATAGAGTCTGAAATTGTTGACATGTTAGTGTGTTTCTTCAAAAGGAATAAAAAATATTTTGAATAACAAACCAATAACAAATACATCAGTCTGTATTAGAGGTAGCTAATGATTATCTGTCACATTGGATGAAAACGTGGAAAAAAAAAAAAGTGGAACCTTGACGTGAAGAAAACATCCAATGTCCGGATACTCCGTAACGGCCTTTGACCTCAACCAGCTGGGCACTGGTCAGCTGGTGTTGTGTGTTTTCTTACCACAGTTCAGTGTCCCATTGCCCCCATGGGTTGTTTATTTTAATAGGTCAACAGTTTGGAGGTATTTTGACATCTGGCATCAGACCAAGAGCAAGACCAACTCTAGAATTTGTGTTTTAAATTGAAATATGCTATCAGTGAAGAACCACCTTCTCTCCAGCTCCCTACAACACTGTCTTCCAGTTCATCACGTATTTACTGAAACCTAACCAAAATAATTATTGGTATGGTACTCTGTATCATTGAGTACACAAATGAAAGTACATTAGTAGGTAGGTAGTAGGTTTGATGGAAATGACATAAAATCGGTTGGCAAAGAAAACAATATATATATATATACAGTGATCCCTTGCCTATTGTGGTAGTTGCGTTCCAAGACCCACCGCGAAATGTGAAAAAAATCTCAAAATATTGGGGAGATATATTTACCTTTTACAACGCAGAGAGTGAAAGAGAAAGTGGCCGACAGACAAGGCTGAGATATGCTACGATGCATGAGCCAATCAGCGTGAGGAACAAAAGAGCTAGCCAATATTCAATTTCAAGACGGGAATGCACATTTTTAAAGCCAAAACTTTCGTATGTGTAATTGTTTCATAATGTTTTTTAACTTATTTTTTGCGATATAGCGAAAATTTCGCGAGATCGGAAAAAAATCTGCGAAAGGAGAACCGCGATAAAGAGAAGAAACACTATATTAAAAAATATTAAGGTACATAATATAAAGGTAAATAAACCTATTTAAACCAGGAAAGAATTGGCTAGCGCTGTCACTTTCTAAAAAATTACTAAAAGTAAGTTCAAACATTGAAATTTAAACCAAAAGGTTGTTTTTTTTTTAATAAATATAATAACATCTACAATTGGTAAAATAGGGAGGGAAAGGAAAGTTATTAACAACAACCCATCCACCCCAAATCACTTACCTATGGGGTACAAATTTCCTCGTAACGCCCCTGTTAGCCTCGAGCCTGTAAGGCTCCACGCAGAAAGAGGTGGAGAATGGGGGAGCAGCCACTTAATTCATTAGGTCTCTTTAAGCCCCCCCCCCCCCCCCCCCTCCCTTTTGCCCCTCCTCACTCAAAGACATGACGCTCCCTGCGTACTCGCGCATTCTTTCCCCCCTCTTACTTTCCCTTCTGTGAACTTTGCTGAAAACCACACAGTCTTCTGTCTGTATCAGAGAAGGAGAAAAAGAAATGAGGACGGACCGAGACCTCCGCTTCTGACAGGTAAACTACGGCCTACACGGCTCTTTTTTTCTCCTCCTTCCTTCCTTCACTGCTCGGCTGGAACAAGGACATGTTTGTGCTGCGGATAATCCGTCAACATCATCGAAACACTGGCAGATAGATTGATAAAATGGAGGGGGGTCTTTGGAAGGAGTTACATAAGTTAAAAGTGCAGTTTTTTAAAAGAAAAAAAAACCCACCCACCACACTATACGGTTAGCGTTGACGTCATTTAAACTGCTGTTACAGTCAATAGAAACAGACCACAAACGTTCACCTTTGTTTTTAAAGCGTTTAGGCAAATGTTCAAGTATCCGTCCTCCTACTTTTAACAATGGCGGGAATTTTGTAAATGTATTTATGGGTTTATCCACACACAATGATGTACGAATATCGTCCACTTAACTTCTGTGGTCTCGATGCTCAATGGCTCCGCTTCATTTGAAAGAGCAGAAAGCCCATTATCAGTTGAGGGCAAACTTTTTTTCTTTTTTTTTCTTTTTTTTTTAACCCTGCAAGCGCCATAGCATATGGTCATATTTAAAGGTCATATTTAAAGGTTGACAATACGGTACAATAGAGATTTCCAGTTGACGGAAATCAGCGACATTCACACTTCTTTGGAAATGTTGGATTTGATGAATCATCATCAAATGATTCTGAAAATGCGAGCCTGTAAGTCAACAACTAAAATGTATTTTAACTAATACTGACAGGAGTATACACTTTTGAAATAATTGTTTCTAATTTATTAAAAAATATTAATATTAATATATAAAATGTTGTTATAAAGTACTACAGCCTATCACTTACTATTCTACTCTATTGTCTTACTGTTTTAAAAAATGAACCCATATTCATACAAATGGAACACTCAAATTGCTCATATTCTCAACTGTCTGTACTTGTATAGCATTATTCTGGTCCAAATCTGAGAACACCTAATACAATATGACAGGCTTTTGTTGCCTTCTCCCTGCTGGGATTGCCAGATGGAGCAACGTGTCCACTCAGTTTCCATTCCGCAGTCTGAAATCAAATCCAGTCAACTTCAAAACCTGCCAACTCCTGAAAAGGAAGACGCTACAGTGTCTTTGTCTTTAATGGGTTAAGGCCTATTTACTGACATCTCCCATAACACCAGAACAATTGCATAGTTGCGACATTTTAAGGAAACACATGGTTTTGTCATTTTGTTTCCCGTCCTGTTTTCGCCACATGCTTGAGGATTACTTTACATGGGCAAGTACTGTTCTCTTTTATTGTAGTATTGCTTTTATAAAGCATTGAATACAAGATCCATGGAAAACTAGTTACAAAAGGTAACAAAAGTCAGGAGGTATTTCCTGTCACTGCAATCCAATTTTGTTAAGAATCTTTTTTTTGTTTTGTTTTGTTTTATGTGTGTCTGTTGGTATCTGTGCTCACACACACAAAAGCTCACCACTAATTTATTACCGTCCCTTTCATATCTCTAACAACAAAATACACCGTTACACTAACTTCTTAATTAATGAAGTAATTTATAATTTTACTAATCTTTTGTTTGTCTTTATTTTAAACTGACATGTTAGTAGTAGCTGCAGCAATTCTGATAAATATATTTATATATACTATATATATATATATATATATATCTGCATATTTAAAACATTGCTGTTTAAGAGAGTATTTTTGTCAAATCGGGAAACGAGCCAAATACTAAAAATGTAATTACATACAGTGTTTTTTTCATAGAAAAATTGCTTTAGACTTTGCCCCCCAAACAATCACAAAAATGATGCCTTAGATACAAAATGATTACAGAGAATTTGCATTCCCTACGCTAGACTTGTAAGTGTATTCAAGTGGTGTCAGCGCATTTAAAAATTTGTAGACACTGACAGATCAAAAACATTATCTTCAAGCATTGCCACTCTGGGGCGTCTGCACCGTTAAGCAATGCCACAAAATATTTAAATTGCTTAAACCGTAGACGAATACTGACTTGGCCCTAGTTTGTTGTTCTATGTGCATGTGTCATTCTTTACTAATAATTTTCTCAACAAGTATTGTTAAACAAGTATTGACTTATAATAGACAAATTGTTTAATTGTATAATGAGATAAAATAATATTTTAAACTCTAATAAAAATAATACAATGGAACCTCGGTTGTCGAACGCCTCCCTTTTTGAACAATTTGATTCACTAACAAAAAGTTTAACCAAAAACTGCCCCAGTTTTGGTACCATAACTCGCCTGCCTGGCTGATTTTTCAAGTATTTCTTTTATTTTTTTTATTTCATAAATCACACTGGGACCTAGAAAGGCTTGTAAAAGTGGAAAGGCGGAAAGAAAAATAGTGAGAACAACAATAGAAGTGAAGAAAGATTATACGAAGGCATGAGAATAGCGCTTGTGTTTCGGATTTTGCATTACGGTACGGCTTAATAAAGTCGTCGCTTTGTACCATCATTAAGAACAAGGAAGCAATAAGAGAAGCTAAGGTTGCCAAAGTAGTGACTGTGATCATCAAGCAACGATCTCAGACATTAGAAGAAGTGGAAAAGTTGCTACTGATCTTGATCAACGAAAAGCAGTTGGACGGCGACAGTATTTCCGAGACAATAATTAGTGAGGAAGCAAAGCGAACATTGCGCAATCACGATATGTTTATCATTTTTTGTTGGATGTAATTATTTTCATTGGTTTTGTGTATGAACTTGTACACAAAATACTGTTGAAAAAGTTTGAATAATCCGGGGTTCCAGGAACGGATGAATCCATATCTGCCAGTAAAGAAGGGCAGGAAAAAAAAAACATTTGTTTTTGTCATTGGTCCAAACACCATCATTATCTTTAGTTGTATAAACAAAAGTGTGCTTGTCCGATGTTTCAACACTCCGTAATTCCGGAGTGTACACTGTGCATGATCATTTGTCTTTTAACAGTTTCTTTCTTGCCTCCCAACTGTGTCTATATATCCTCCTGTTCAACACTTAGGAATGTGATGCCTCATCGGGTCAAACCTCCAAGTTGTAACACAAGGAGCGGGAGACAAACCATTTCTTTTGTGCCTTCCCTTTGTTTTTTAACACAACACAAACTACGTACACACACCACCCGACAGCTCACCCACTTCGTCACAGAATGCTCTCCCGTCTAGACGCCGTTTAAATCACTACCAAATGGGTTTCCACCAGGACTTTGCCAGAAGCTCCACTAAGGTCATGGAATTTACCCTCTTACTCGCGGAAGAGATGCAGGGACAGACCTCGTCTTCTCTGTATAGCACAGCACTCTTGGTCTTGGTCTTGGAGCATGTCTCACTACACAAGAGTTATGTTGCTGAAGTTTTGCTGCTAATGGTGGATTTGTGACTTGTGGGTGTACAGCCTCGGAACATCTTAATCTGCACGACTGTGTTGGCCACACAGTGGGAGCACAGGGAAAAATCTTTAGTCGAAAATTTGGTAACACAACGTGTACGGGTGAAAAATCGGTTTTTCCAAATTTCGTCGAGTCAGTGACTAGAAGTTGAGTTTCTTTACAACAATGCACTTTAAATAGCAGTTTGAGATCAGCAAGCTAACTGCTATCAGTTCTTTGAAATTCATTTTTAACATGGACTCGGCGTCATTGTTAATTCGGTGTAGGGTTGTTGTCAGCGGAAAAAAAGTCAAGGGTTAAGCATTTAAAAGTATCCTGAATATGCCTCGCGCTAGGGCGGCACAATTAATCCAATTTTTATCACGATCACATGCTTCTGACCAAGTAGGCCAAATTAGAGTTAGCCCCGCCCACAGACTTTGATGGTTGAGTTTTACATATAAAATTAATTTATGATGCACTACAACGAAGCAACCATGAAATAAGTAATTTAATAGTGAATTGTTATAATAACATATTTATATAATTCATTCTCATTTTAATTCATTCATGAGACATTTAATTAATTATCAGCCTCCATATACCTCCCGGTGCAATCCACTACCTTTTGCTAGACAGTATCTCCAAAGGGCCTGACACATGAAATGTACTTCATTTGTGCGTAGTCCCATGATCGACAGAAATCACTGCCTCCTGGCTGGATTCATTGTCAACTAAAATGCCCCATTAACCAATCAGCTTTTATCCAGCTGGGCACCATCTACAGACGGCTATATGATAAGTTTGTGTTCAAGCCATTGGCTCCGTTAGCCATCTGGCTATGTTGCAAGCTACACTGATATACCAACCTGTTACCAGCTAAAAGATCTTAGGGAATGATAACTGTACAAACATTTTACGTACGTGTTGTAGGCATTTCTTTGTGCAAAAGCCCATGCAAAGTGATCACTCATCACAACCCTACTTGCTAGCACTAACGGTAAACCTAACCCTAACCCAAGTTTGAAGCCAAGAGAAGCTGGTGTTTTTATTTGAGTGGAACATGCATTTTAAAATACATGATTCTTAAAAACAATTCTTCTATACAACTACAGCTATATACAGCTTTTCAAATAATGCTTTATTTTTGTGAAAAGAAAACATTTTCACGTTTTTCTTCCTCCTTTTTCTCCCTGTCAGCCGAGCTACCTTGATAATGCCACAGTCTCCTCGTTGATGAGACAATGAGAACCTACACTCGTGGGGCCCCCACAGTCTTCTTCATAAGTTTCCTGTGGCTATTGCTTTTCCTGAAAGAAGAATTAACAATTGCAGAGGTGGACCCCAGTGGTGGAATCCCCTTCATGGGAGGCAATTATGATGGTCATCCCATGCTGTACTTCACTCGTGGAGAAGTGGAGGAATTACAGTACGCTTCATCAGGAACACATCAAGAAATGGCCAGGAGAATTCGAGAGGCTGCGGAGACAATGTTGGAGCATCCAGAGGAGTACTTACCCCCGTGGAGCCCGGCTGAGTTCAGTGCCCGTTGGAATGAAGTGTATGGAAACAACCTGGGCGTACTGTCCATGTTCTGCCTGCTTTACCCCCACAGAGCTGGGGCCCTCGACTTTGCCAAGGACTACATGGAGCGGATGGCTGCTCAGCCTAGTTGGTAGATTTTCTATCTTTTTTTATTATTTATGTTATTAGACCTTTATATATACTACTTTAGCTTTTTGGTTAAATGAAAAACAGCAACAACCAAGGCCTTCCATTTTGTGTATTTACAGGATTTTTTTGAAATTGGTGCCTATTGGATCATGTGACTTATGGAATTCACTGTCCTTTGTCCTGGAAATTGGATCTAAAGGTCTTAGTAATAGAAAACGCTGTAGTATTTATTTAATGCTACTTTCTAGGTTTTATTTTTTAAGCAAAGGCTACTCAAAGGTAAATACTAAAAAAAAAAAACGTAAAAAATTATACCTACCGTATCGTAAAAAAAAACACTTTTATTCATGACTGAACGTTAAGTACTTGGATTATCATCTCCACATACCTTACATACCATGTAATATTGAATTACTTTCCTTTTTCTTTGGAAGCAAATTTATGTAATGGCAATACTAAAATAATAAAACCCAAAACATCTTTTTTTCACATGATGAATGTTACAGTTAAAAGCAAGGGTGAAAAACCCATTTTCCAGCAGATATAATTGTCGGAAAGTCAGAACCATCGTGGTTCCATGGTGTAATGGTTAGCACTCTGGACTTTGAATCCAGCGATCCGAGTTCAAATCTCGGTGGAACCTCTCTCTCTCTTAGAATCGGTTCCATAGTGAAGCTTAGCATGCGTGCCTCGGAAGCAGAGAGCAGAGTCCTGGGTTAGATTCCCACAGGAAGTACATGATTGGTGCGTGCTGGGGGCAGCCTGTTAACAGCAGATCTGCTGTAAACACAAGAATTTCCCAAATATGGGATCAATATGGTTCATTTTTTTTATATATATATTGTAATCCCAACTAAGGCATAATCTTATGCTGCCTTGTACAGTAGTGAGGGCTTTTCCCACAGGGTAGAATCAGTCCTGGGTGATGACTGTGGCGTCTTAAGTATGTCCTTACCCCCCGTGGTCTTAATATATATCAACACTATCAAATGGGTACATGTTCACAACTGAGTAAAATCTAGCTATCTAACTGATACAGACCACAACAAGCCAGCGAGAGCTCATTAAATACAAGCAAAACTACGTAGCTCGTTGGCCAGCCAACAGTTCATTTAACTTCATTGAACTGCGTTAAAAAAATAGTTAATCTGATGTTTCTACAAAAACAAGTGTGTGGCCATTCTTTACCACAAGCTCTGGGTTGAGGTGGACATCTGTAGGAACACTTTTGGACAAAACGGTTGAAGACAAAAGTTCAAGAATTTTTGTAGCTAGCTAGCTAGCTAGCTAGCATTGAGGGCATCTCTCAAAGTGACCCTGTCTGTAAAGCACTCTGTTCCCATGGAATCCTTTAACTGTCACGGGTTGTTGGTGCAACTACCACCCTCAAAAGTTTAATTTGATGAATTTATGAAAATATGATCATGTATTTATACATGATAATAATCTATAACCAATGAGTAGCTTCATTTCTATGAACCTGAGGAATTTCCTGTAGATTTGAGAGATTACAAGACATGTAGGTCGCCCTATCTCTCTAAACACCTTATTTTTAACAAAGTGGTTACTTTTAGTATTTAATAACAACAGTTATTAAATCAAAGGAATTGTTTGATTTTTTGGGGGGTGGGGCTTTGGTTGAATCCACATTTCTTAGTATGGATAGTATCCTGGTCATTTCAAAAGCAAGCGAAAAATTCTGTTTTTTTGGAAATGTTTAGTACTACGAAAAAGTTGTGCAAATAGAATGGTAGGATAATTGCTTACAGTGGTGCCAGTGCTAAGTAAGTAAGTCATGAAACCACACTTAAAAGACCTCTAACCATCGCTGTAAGTGTTTCTTCTCACAAAAAAATTACTTCCAACCACGGCCCCTCAATATTTTTGTTTTTCTCTGGTAAAGACGCATTCAAATTTGAAAATGCTGACGGCCATGCAATATGTTCAGCAGCTGTCTGCACCCCTTGATGAAATGAAATGGACATATGTGAGCTGAATACCAGACACTCCAGGACTGAATTCAATCTGTTTGAACTCTCTGAACCAGCTCTCGCTCTAGTAACTTCAAATTCGGTCCATCTTTTCTTATCTTTTTGATTGCTTTGACTTTCAAGAGGGAATTGATACAAATCATGGTTTGTTTCTATAGGGGGGGCGAGAGGATTTTGAGTCAGTTTCTAGGATTTCTAGGAAAGTTACATTTTGGGGACACAGGGTGCTAAGACTGTTTACTTTGATTAAGACTACACACTGAAAAAAATACTGTATAATAAATAGCAGTTAATACAGGTATGGGCAAACTAAGTCCCCGGGGCCAGTTGCGGCCCGTTCAACTTTTTTTAATCCAGCCTGCCAAACCATTCCAAATTATATAATTTTTTCATATTATCATTATACTTCTGCAATACCTGCGTTTTCCCAATAGATGGCGTAAAAAATGATAAAAGCATTTTAGCCTTTATGCATGGCTTTAACATGTCATTTATCTTAGTTCGCATAAATTTTAGGACAATTGTGGCCCGTGAGTCAAAAACTTAGCTAATACCTGGACCTAGCATCATACCAAGCCTATCATGGACACCTACTTTTTGAGAGAAAAGTTTCCTATTTTTAATTAAATTTAAATTTAAGTTTAGACTTGGAGATTGAGGGTCATACTTGAAGAATATAGCAAGCGCTTGTTTGGTAAAATCATTAACCTGTTTTTTGCAATAAGTTTTACAGTTGACAGTTGACAGATATATGACAAGTTTTAATAAATGACTAGCCTTGCTAATAATAAGGGTGCTGTATAAAGCCAAACAATCGAGTTGCCATTATAAGTATAATAGGTTTGTATTTATTAAGTTGGTAACATAGCGCAGTAGCTAGCAGAAGCTCAACCCCTTACGTTTTGGCCACGGCATCCACGGGTGGGTTTTAAGGTATACTATACTGAGAAAATGCATCAACCTTCAGTCAGCTGAGAGGTGGGCCTTCACCTTAACTATCAAAATATGTGCCATTTGCTCACCCTTTATCTAGTCCCCATGTCAATCAATTGGTAAAAATGAATTGATTTAAGCCAAAAGATCCATAACCTCATTCAACTTTGACAGCAGACGTCGTGAAAGGAGCGGGCAACACTAATGCCACAAAGTAGAAGTTTCCCATTGGAAACATGGTTTCGTGGCATTTTTGCAGCCATAATTGAAGGTGGTGAATACACCACAAGTGGCTGACTCCTGGAGCCAAGGCACAGAGGCCTGCTGACCATAAGTGCGGTCAAGAAGGCAAAGCTCAGTGTGTTGTTAACACGAGCTTCAGTGGCTTTACGTTTGCATATGGAATTCTGTAACGGCAGATACCGTTGTGAAAAGGGTACGATACATTTTTATACAATTTTTCAGGCAGTTCATTATGTGTAGTGTAATGTGTAATGAGCTGCCTGAAAAATCTCCCCTTCCTTTGAAAAGGTGCAGCATGGGAAGACATTATCTGCTTGGCAAGGTACACCTTTAAAGTAGGGGAAGAGGAAAGTAAGAGCTAGTTGAGTTTTTAGCTTTTGTTCTGTTCAAAGCTTCTCAAAAAGTGGGACAGGCCCCCCTGGGGGGCGGGGGCGGGGTGCAGTGAGAAATATGGCACGCTACACATACTGTAAGTGTACCACTGCTGTAATGCTTGAATGATAACAAGCCTCCAGCCACTAGGTGGCAGCAATTCATACAGCGGTTTGTACAGATAAAAATATACATGATATCAGGTTCTCAATAGTATTTTAATTCATTTCAATTTGGGGGGTGGGTGAGGGGGTGTGAAAACATTTTTGTCCCCAAGGGGGGGCATGACAGAAAATAATTGAGAACCACACGTTTAAAGCAAAATTCTAGCTGACAGGTAAAGGGTGCAACTGCTCAACTTCTCAACACTTTCTCCTTCAAAGTGTGAGAGTTATCTTCAAGAGATATATGATGTATGCAAGTTTTTTTCTATTTAAAATTACAATTATTTTTAAATTAGGTTTCATAAAAAAAAAACAACGAAAACTTAATTTGATTTCACGTGCCTTCAGTCTCTCCTGTGTTTGTCTTGGTTTTTTTTTTTTCAGGTTAGTCAAGGACGCCCCTTGGGATGAAGTTCCTTTGGCGCACTCTTTGGTTGGCTTTGCCACGGCTTATGACTTTCTCTATGAATACCTAAACAAAGACCAACAGGATCGGTTCCTGCAGGTGATTGGAAATGCGTCACGTCTGATGTACGAGAAGTCGTATGTGAGAGGCTGGGGATTCCAGTACTTGCACAACCACCAACCCACCAACTGTGTAGCTCTGCTCACAGGGAGCCTGGTTTACATGACTCAAGGTTAGTGCCTCAGTCCTTAATATTATAGTTTGAGGTTTTTTTTTTCTGACGCATGAAGCAATGAATCATATGGGTTGATTTACATTGATATGAACAAGATATTCCTAAGCAATGCCAGTTCTGTCCAGCATTAAGAGACATCCTCTGCTTAGTTTAAACCCCACACTGTACTGCATTCTCAGTTTGTTTTGAAGAATGGGTCTTCTGTGATCGGCAACTCTAGCACTACGATCCACACAGTCGTTGACGGTCAGAGGAGGTTGCTTGTTGGGACCTCTGGTATGGTATGGTATCATTACAAAGCTCAAGTCAGTAGGCTCACGACTTTCCAATAGTTGGCCGCCCTGTCAACGCAGATCACAATGGTGGTGTAATCCACAAACACAATGATTTGACTGAAGGTGAATTCTAGCTCGCAGGCATGGCTAAAGAGGTTAGCTTCCTGTAAGAAAACCCAGAAGCCAGTAGCACTGTCCCATATCCTCCTCTCCGCTTTTCATCCCCCTCTGTCAAAGTGCATATCCGGCCAAGCCGGACCACCTCCGACCCGGCCGGTGCATCTCCGGTCTAACCGGAACACCTCCGGTCCGCATTTATGCGGAAAACCCCAGAATTGTCTAAAAACGTGTGCGTTCTATGAAAACCATGTATTGTACTACAAGGTGTAGTTAGGAGGTGTAAAAATATATTAGCTAAAGACTCCACCACCAGGAGATTTAACGGGGGTGTTTGTTAATTGCCTGGGGATGATAGTAATTAATTATTAATGCTAGTTAGTGTAATTAATTTGTAGTCTATGAACTGCGTTCTTATATATGATGTCATGGCATCGTTGCAGATATGCAAAGTACAAGTAATACAAGCCAGAGTGTAAAATGGACTTAATGTTCTCTGATGACAAGTATTTCAAAGCGTTTCATGTATTTAGGGCTGGACCCACTTAATAAGTCATTGAGACAAAAGGGAAGAGTTTCTCCGCGCAGACCTTCAGTGGTCGACGAATAGCGAAGCAAGATCTGGTGCCTGTCAGTCGCAGGAAGGATGAGGTGTGTTGTTGAAATAAACAGAACCCACTGATTAATCCAATGATTCAGCTGAGTGCTGTTGTTGTCACAGCCCTCAGATGTGGGCCTTGTCTGTTCCACAGGCGTTTCGCGTCTCTGCTGATGCCGCAGTAAATGATCAGTCAGTTGGTGTGGCAGTGGACTCTAGCCCAGTAATACTGGGGCAGGCCTTTGTGTGGGTTGGAGGAGGGGGAGTATGGGTGAGGGGGTGTGAAAACATTTCTGTCCCCAATGCGGGGCATGACATAAAAATAACTGAGAAGTGCTGCTCTAGCCTGACAACAGCATAGTCATTTGGACTGGGAGGAATGTAAACAGTTGTCAAACTGAGTCCTGGACATCGTCATTGAGCCATGTTTCTTTAAAGCTAATAGTGCAGACGCTCCTCACGTCACACTGTTTAGATGTAAGGACGTGACCCCTTTCTCCCCTCCGTACTACATTTCCCGTCAAAGGCAAGTGGCGAAGAATGTGCTCATGTTGCAATGTAGTCCGAAATGTTAAAACATGTCACAGCTGTATGAGAAAATATGATCAACCAGAATTTTTTTTTTTTTTAGAAATGATACATTTAACACACATTCACATTAAACACACGTAAACGCTGTAGTGTTGGGCAGATACAAAAAACAACCCTAATATTTATTTTTGGAGGCAATTCGCTCCCATAATTTCAAGAAACATGGAACTCGTTAGTTTCACACACAAAAATGTGATTATCCTTTATAAAGACAGTATGTTATTAATAAGTGATTATTTTGGGACAGACAGACAGACAGACAGACAGAAATCATTAATGTTAGCCACGATGTTATCCATTATCCATTTTACAAAGACATAATTTTGTGGTTTTGCTAGCTATTTAATATCACAGTTGGTCACAGTAACAAATATAAATTGTATACAGCCGTTAGCTGATAGAGCTAAAAAAATATATAATTAATAGTTTTAGTTGTTGACAGATTTTGCCCACGACCTGCCTATTTGTGGCCCTGAACCTTTTTCTTTCTTTGTGTGTTTTTTGGTTTGGTCAGCACGTGTAAACGTGGACTGTCATCTCCATGCCAACGATGCACCAGCCTGTAAACACCAGCGACTGTCGCGCCAGTGGTACACACTGTATGTGTTGGTCATCGTTAGTCACACAAACTTTACGCGTCTGCACCATCTGTGTTACTTAAGACGAAATGCTATTTATTTATTTATTTATTTATTTTTTGCAATTTCAAGAGTTTCATGTGATAATGAAACTGGATAATATGTTTCATGTAGTAAAAGTTTCACAGCCTGTTTAGTTCAGTTGCACGGCTGTGGTATGGCTCTGTAAATACCAAGAGTTCCTGTTCATTGGTAAATAACTGCTTTGTGTCGGCAAAACAGACCCCATACCTTTACCATACAGGACAGGAGAGGTCCCCTTTCTGTAGCCCCTCCCCCAGGATTCCTCAAAAACCTGTGGCTTGAGTGTTTATGCGGTTGCCTGTTCTCCTACAAACCCTGTGTGTGTATTTGTGCCACGGTGGTGTCACGCTTTCCACAGGCAGAGCTGAATGTCAATGTGGAAGGTTTCTTTAGGTAATGCACACTAAGAAGACTTTGTTTTCCAATGCTGTTTTCCATTCATTTCATTAGTTACACAAGTAGACCAGTCATAGTCTGCCACACCAGATTTTTTGGATAACATTGCCCCTTTCTTCAAGTCCTGCTGTGAACATTATTTATTATACTTCAAGCACTTCCCGTGGCCGCTGGCTCATCCTGTTTGTGTAAAATCTGTAGGACTCCACAATTCATTTTAAACATAAATCCTTCGTCTCATCCTTCGGTTCACTTCTTAGCTCAGGCATGGACAAACTATGGCCCAGGGGCCGGATGCGGCCAGTTTGGCTTTTTAATTCAGCCCACCAAACTTGTCCGAATTGTTATTTACCTATATTATGATTCTGCATTTTACCTGCAATACATGCATTTCCTCAATAGAGGGCATAGGAACGACTATTGCTAGGTATTGCTTTATTGTTTGGTTTCTGGTGCACCAAACTTGTCCGAATTGTTATTTACGTATATTATGATTCTGCCTTTCACCTGCAATACCTGCATTTCCCCAATAGATGGTATAGGAAAGACTATTGCTAGGGATTGCTTTATTGTTTGGTTTCTGGTCTCTTTATGTATACAGTGTTCCTTATATAGCGGTTTTCCTTTTGCTCCCTGTGTACATCACAGATTTGTTTTAATCCGATCTCGCGAAATTTTTGCTATATTGGGAAATATAGCAAAAAAGAAACTAAAATACATAAAATAATTATTCATACGTAGGTTTTGACTTTAAAAATGTTGAATCTCGTTTTTGAAATTGAGATAACAAATTTGCGAACAATCGCTGGTAGCTTTGTTTACCAAGATGAGTGGTGGGTCTTGGAACGCAACTACCGCTATAGGAGAGGGATCATTGTATTACCTATTATTAAATTCAATAAAAATAATTTAAAAAAAACATAAATACTAATTATAAATCCTTTAGTTGTTGTTCGGCTCAGACTTAATTGTTAGCTAAATATTACATAATTCAGAAATGTTACTGTATGGATACTCCATTGAAAAGTAATTAAACCATGTCCTTTTGCTCATGACCTTTCAAAATTAGTGCAAAATTTTGTTTTTATAAAAATGTCACACTGACTTAAGTCAAACTTCACACGTTCTAAATTCAGTTCAACACGTTTCAAAACAAGGTGCTGATGACAGAACAGAGGTGCTAAATGATAATCAGTTCCTTTTGCACTCAACTTTCTGACAAATAACACCTTGTGCAATGGGTCTTCATAATCACCGTCTATCCACTGTGTGGTTAAACTTGTCATTTGTAAAGCTAATTGCTGCTTTAGGGTTTATCTGGGGCTTAGCAGACTGCTAACGTAGCAGGACACGACTCGGAACAGCTCTCATTGGCTTCATTTGTTACAAACCAAATATTTAGACACTATGTAAATAATTAAACTAGAAAAAACTTACTGGGACAACTTGTGGAATGCCTGTGCTCCTGTTGCTAGGGAATCCTGATTAAAACAATACATGATTCGGATATGTCTCTGTGTGTTCCAGGCTACCTTCAGGAGGCCTACCTGTGGACTAAGCAGGTGCTATCCATCATGGAGAAGTCCATGGTCCTCCTGCGGGATGTGACAGACGGCTCACTGTATGAAGGAGTTGCTTATGGGACCTACACCACCCGCTCTCTATTCCAGTACATGTTCCTGGTGCAGCGTCACTTTTCCATTGGTCACTTTGATCACCCCTGGCTCCTAAGGCACTTTGCCTTTCTCTACAGGACTATCCTGCCTGGTAAGTGCCACACCAACCACTGTTTATTTTAGTAATCGAACAACTGAGAAAAACAAGGTCACGTTTGTTCACTGACAAAATGTTAACTTTGCCAATCGACATTTTTAGCCAAACTGGTACCTTAGACTTTAGGTTAAGTCATATAATCTAAACTTTATACAGTTATATATTAAAGCATCAAAGCATAAATTGGTCAAATACAGTGATCCCTCTCTTATCGCGGGAGTTGCGTTCCAAGACACACCGAGGATTGGGAAAAATCGTGAACCACACTGTTATCAACCCTCCCTAGACGGTTTAACCCTTTCCCACACAAAGAGTTGTATAATGGCGATGCAGAGCGAAGTGAAACAACGTGAGGAACAGAAAAGCATGCTCAATTAGCCAATAGTACACCCAGTACGCATTGTATTAGCCAACAGTGTGCTGTATACGATCTCGTCTAGGGAAACAAAGCTACCAGCGATCGTTCGCAAATGTGCTCGAGAATCCACATTTTTAAAGCCAAAACTTATGTAGAATTATTATATAATGTATTTTAGTTTATTCTTGCTACATTTTACGAGATCGGATTAAAAAAAAATCTAAGATATACTGAGGGAGCAAAAGTAGATCTGCGATGTAGACAGGGAACACTGTAGTTATAAAAGAGTTTTCATAAGAAGTCTGAACGTAAACTGAACCTATTTCTATTTTTTTTTTTTGAGAGTTTTCATAAGAAGTCTGAACGTAAGCTGAACCTATTTCTAATTTATCACTACACCTACAAGTAACTAACAATAGAAAAAACCGTGGATCCTTCTTTATTTCAGGGTCCCAGACTCCATCTGTTCAATTATTACGGTCTATAAATATAGCCGTGTGTAGCCTAAATAGCATATGCTATATTGCGCTAACATGACAGTCTTCATCATTTCTCCACACCCTAATCCCACCTATCCACTGTGTGGTCTTCTCTTTCAGGGTTTCAGCGGACCGTAGCTATTGCAGATTCCAACTACAACTGGTTCTACGGGCCAGAAAGTCAGTTGGTTTTCTTGGACCGCTACGTGTTGCGTAATGGCAGTGGAAACTGGCTGGCAGATGTTATTCATCAAAACAGGGTAGTGGAAGGGCCAGGGCAGGCTGGAAAAGGCCAGCGCTGGTGCACTCTTCACACAGAGTTAATCTGGTAAGATGTGTAAAATGAAATTTATAGTTCAAGATGTTTTGCGTAGGGGCCATGTGGTGAAAGTGTAGTTAGTGCTCTTGCTTTACATCAAGAAAATCACCAGTTTGAGTCCTTGTGGTAACTGATGGTCTGTCTTTATGGTGTTTTTAACGTTCTCCCCATGTGGCGTGTTGGTTTTCTTCCCCCCCCATAGTTCAAAAACATTTTGGGGACTAGGTTATTTGGAATCGTAAGTGACTATGGATGGGAATGGAAAACCGTTTCTTGTAGGGAACAAGTTCCCACAGGTCCAGTTCCTTGGAATCCTTGGTCTGCTTGCGTAACTAACTGATTCCAATGATGTCATTTCCTGAAGAGATCTTGCATGATGAAGTCACTCATACGCTTGCTGTACTTTGCAGGTATGACCCAAGCCTGATCCCCAAACCCCCATCAGACTTCGGAACATCGCGGCTCCACCACTTTGAAGACTGGGGCGTGGTCACATACGGTGGCGCCTTACCTGCAGACACCAACCGCACTTTCATCTCCTTTAAGTCGGGCAAGCTGGGAGGACGCGCCATCTTTGACATTGTCCACAAAAACAAGTACAAAGAGTGGATAAAAGGATGGCGGAACTTTAATGCCGGCCACGAGCACCCGGACCAGAACACTTTCACCTTTGCACCCAATGGCTTTCCATTCATCACAGAGGCACTGTACGGACCCAAGTACACGTTGCTGAATAACGCAGTTTTATTTGGCTCGGCCATCTCAGGGAGTTGCTTCCAGCCATGGGTAGGGCAAGTGACAGAAGCTTGTGACTCCAAGTGGTTGATCTATAAGGTTGGACTGGCAGCTGACACTCAAGGCAGAATAGAAGCTGCTATGGAGAGACAGGGAATGATCTTTATTCGCGGTGAGGGTCGTTCAGCTTATAGTCCGGATCTGAAAATTAGGAACTTTCAGAGGAACCTGCTCCTTCTTCATCCTCAGCTCTTACTCGTTGTGGATCACATACACCTGGATGCTGACAGCCCGACATGGGCCATGAGTGCCTTCTTTCACAACACGGAACTACCATTCCAGGACGCCAAGGCGGACAATGTTCACGGAGCATTCGTATCACACGGTGAGGACAAATACAAGATGTTCTGGTTGGATGACACTGGCTATAGTAATAAAGGAGTCATAGGGTATTGGAATTACCCACGAGGATATCCGTATAATGGCTCTAACTATGTGAACATCACGATGCCACTGAGGTACCCTTACACAAGGGTGGCGTACATTTTTTACGGACCAGGAGTAGACATAAAAAGTTTTAGCCTGCGTGGCGACGACCAAAGAGTGGATATTCACCTAGACGCCGTGGACCACACTTACACTGTCTATCTGCTGACCGGAGAGGTCACCAGCAAACCGCTGTATAGCATGGTGCTGCTGGACAACAAGAAGGTTGTATTCGAAAAAGCAGCCGCTGCAGTGGACACATCGCCGGAGGAAGTTGAGGAGTACGTCAACGTGATGGAGGACAATCTCCAACACGTTAAGCCGGTCTTTCAACAAATGGAGAGACACATTCTTGGACGGGTTCTAAACACCGCCAGCTTTAGAAAAACAGCGGAGCGCCTCCTCCAGTTCTCTGACAAAAGAAAGACGGAGGAGGTCATCGAGAAGATGTTCGCCATGTCCAGAAAGCAGGGCAAGGCTAAAGGCGGCAAGAGGGTGAACCTTGCGGAAAAACTGTCGGAGACTCTCCCTGACATTTTTGCACAAATCGAAGTGAATGAGAAAAAGGAGAGGCAGAAAACGTCCAAGCGTACATACGAGGACAGTCCAGAAGAGGGCGATGCGGACTCAAAGGCCTTCATTGATTACACGGACAGTCGCAAAAATAAGAAAGGCGGCTTCGTCAAGGGCCGCAAATTCAAAGAGGTTCCCATGGCGACAGTAGGGAGTGAGGGCGTATCCAGCACAACCTCTTACATCCGACTCTTCCTCCTGCTGAACACTGCCACCTTCTTTTTGCTGCTCGCCGTGTTGCTGATGTGCTTTCAGAAGGGTCGGAGCTTACACACGCAGAGATGTTTCTACACCATCCTTCTGATTGACTGCTTCATTTTACTGTATCTCTACTCGTCCTGCTCTCACACGCAGTGCTAACATTGCGAGCAGGAGGCGAAACCTATGTCTGGCTACATCCACGCGATTGTGTTTTTGTTCTAAAAAGCACCTCATCCGCTATAGTTACACCCGCCAGTTCACACTACCTTAACATGGTTGAAGAAGCAGACAAAGATCACATCCGCTGTTGCTGTATGACCAAAACTTAACTTCCGATTATTCGAATTTCAACACATAAATACGTTCCTCACCAGAAAAGAAACGAAACATCACCATTTTGGGGATCAATTTTCAGGGGTCGCGAATCGGCTAATACGTGAGTATGTACGGTTTATAATAATGTATTGTTATGCCAACATACCAATGGCGCAATTTTCAGGGGTCGCGAATCGGCTAACACACTCATGTGTTGTACGGTTTATAATAATGTATTATTATGCCAACATGCCAATGGCAGAGCCAAGTACAACCAATACAGATATCAGATAACAATCACGAGTATCGGATTGAGCCTTAATAATAATTTGTGGCTGTTGGCGGGTGTTGTTTTGACCAACTAATTACGATCATCCTTTTTGCCAAATTATTTATAATTTTTATACAATATATAAGACGGGTTTGGTTTCAAGAAAAGTTAATAATTAAAAAGAAAACTAATATCGTAATGCACTTGAACCTTTATACTTGGTTAAAATGGCAAAGAAAGACTCCTCAGTATTTTCTTTTTAACCAACGTAATTCTATGTTGGACATAGAAAGAAATGGAAACTTGTTAGACAAACTGCTTTTCCTTAAGCTACACTTAATAATTTGATTAAACTGATAATAGTTGTCGCTGTTACGGCTGCATACACTTGAACTTTCAGATCTTTCTCCATTTATACGTAATCATGAATCCCAGACCTCTTTAAAAGTCTTGATCTTTCCACAATGGTTTATGGGAGGTTCCTCATTTATTTAGTTTGTTGAACACATACCTTCTAAATGTGTTTGTTTACTGTTGCAGTAAATATTGCCACAGATCCCTTTTATGTCCTACTGCATATTTGATTGAATTATATGTAACTAGACATTTTTGTGTTTTAAGTTTGTGCCCAAATTTTACAGAGCTACTGTAAACCAGGGTGCCCAATAGGTAGATTTGCTCTACTAGGAGATCACACAAGGAGTGCTGGAAGATCATGAACAATAAAATAAATTTGTAAAAATTTATATATAAATATAGTGTGTAATAGTGACCGTATAGTGTAAGAGCTGAATCATATGGTGCCATACAAGCTACATGCATTTAATCAGTACTCCAACATATAATGTATATATGAAGTATGTTTCGTTTATATGAGTAAATATATATTTAACATTTTTAATGTCAGTAGATCACTTTATTCTGGTCATTTGAATAATAGCTCTCAAGCCAAAAAAGTGTGGGCACCCCTGGTATAGACCATGCTGGTAGAGAAATTCCTTGCCACTGCCTGATTTGCATCGCGGACCGCTATCATGTACTCCACAAACTTCATTAGAGGTATAGACATTAAAGCAGGCATGGGCAAACTAAGGCCCGGGGTCTAGATGCGGCCCCTTCAGTTTTTTAATTTGGCCCGCCAAACCTTTCCAAATTATATAATTTATTATATTATCATTATACTTCTTCCTTGCAATACCCACTTTTTCCCAGTAGATGGTGTAGAACAGGATAAAAGCATTTTTAGCATTTTAGCCTTTATGCAAAACCTTTACATGTCATTTATCTTAGTTCACACGAACGCTCCATCTATCTGCTGCTGACCCGGCCCCGCTGTTCAATTTTAGGACCAATTGTGGGCCGCGAGTCGAAAAGTTTGCCCACGCCTGCATTAGAGTCTCTCCCTCTTTATGTGGAACTTCACTGCATTTGGATATTTTTGTTCGTCCCACGCCGTCGAAAATTACAAAGGCTCTATGGTCACTACGAGATCTAAATAGTATCCAGAGGTCGCGATCGTATCTAAAGTAGAGCAGGCTGTTATCTCAGGGACGTGACGTCCGTCACACTACACACGTGTAAATCACAGATTCGCCCGACTCATAAACTCACCGCTTTGGTTTTGCGTTGGACATTCGTTTTTGGCTTGGCGAAGCCTGTGGAGTTTGTAAGCAGAACGATCTGTGGACAAATATGTCACATTCAGAGATTTTTGTTCGAACAAAGAAAACTATAGTAGTGAGGGTAAGGCGCAAATAGAGTGTGGCGAAATAAAAATCACACTTCCGTCAGAGCCAGAACCCAACAATTTTAAGAGATGACGAACAATAAAAAGTTAGCATTGGTGCCTCACCGGTTTATGACATTATTTTTTTTCCCCATGTGTTAAAGTACACAACGCCAAAACCATGCAAAATCTGGATCAGGTACTGTGACTGGAGTGTATAATACACATGATTGTGAATGGTTGTTTGTGTATGGTTGTTTGTGTCTGGTGGCTGTACTGGTGACCTTAATAGGAAGAGAATGTAAGAGAACATAGGCTGTGGAATTAATATGGAATGACGTAAATGGACCTCAGTTACATGTTCTGTGTCGTCTAACTTGTCGGGGTGTTCAAGGCGGCATGCAGGGAGACAATTTAATACCCGTGAAAAATGTTTTTTTTTTACCCTGTAGAAGACTTCATCAGAACATCATCGGCACCTTGTGGAATCTAGCTGATGTGTCGCAGCGAGCTAAAACGCCCCGGTTCTTAATACGACCTCATCAGCTACAATTAAGATCCATGTCAACGTGAGGTTTGTGCTGAGTCATGTTTAAATGTCCTGATACGTTTAAAAAAAAATCTCGAGGTTAGCCACTATAATGGAGCTGTACTTGAGAGTTGACCTGTCTACGCGTTTCATAGGAATATATGAAAATGTAAATACAGTATATAAGTAAAAAATGAGATATATTTTTTATGGTCTTATCTTTTTGAAAATAAAATTGCAACATGCGCAGGTGTGTGTTTTTTTTTTCTGTCTGGTTGTTTTGTTGATGTGCTTTTTGTACCGTGTAGTTTTTTTTTCTGTTAATAATTACTAAAATTTTGGTTGCGTTCAATTTCTGAGTGTTAGAACAGTGTGACAGTAAACCTAGGATAATTGTAACACTTAACCTAACCTATCTAACCTATCTACTGTGACCTGTAAAATGGCTGCTCTCTCTAAATATATATATATAATATCTAAATATTACATATATCTATATATAATCTATATAAAATCTAACAAATAAAACTTTATATCATTTTTCATGTTGGCAGTAACGGTAGAAAAGGAACATTCTAGAGATCGCTCTTTCGGTACATTAGCACATGCTTACAGTGACATCTGGTGGTAATATATATTATATGTAATATATGTAATATATAATCGTAATATTGTAAACACCCTATAAACACTGTTTTTTGGGGGGATATTCTTGTTTCTTATAACTGTCATGTTAATTTATCATATAGAATATATAGCATAATTTGACAGAAGGATAATTATTTTTATTTTGACTGCCAATAAATCGCAGTTGGCACGAGGTTTTTTTTTTTTAATCAAACCAATAACGCACCGAATCAAAAAATAATAATTCAGTTATTAAATAAATATGTAAATTAATTTCATACAATTACAGTTTAAAAATGTATTATTTCGTCTTGGAAGGGGTGGGGGCGCTATTTTACACTTCGCCTTTTAATCTTGGAATGAACCTTCTCGTTTACCGTCGCCAGGTTCTTTGAAACCAACTTTATTGATAGCTTGTTCCGTACAGACATGGGGGCACGGGTCGCACGTATGACAAGGAATTTTAACCTTGAGAACCGAGCGTTTAGAGAAATTTCAAAGGAGAAACCGCGAGCAGCGCCGCGTCACGAGTCGAAGGGCGCGCCTTTGGTCGAGGTTTCTGACGGTGAGTTAGCATGTTATCTTCACTGCTCACCCGGGGCTCAGAGCTGATGAACACAGTGTGAGAAACTGTGGAAAAACTTGTTTTTTTCTTCTTCTTTTTGTTTCCATCACGTTAGAGTCGATCCACCAGAGGAACGACCCTTTGCTCGGTCATCTCAAATCCGTGTACGTGGAGTCGAAGGACACCACAACAGCATCAACGGGAGGAACAGAAGCAACGGCAGCAGAGGTCAGAGTGGGGACACTATCAATAATTAGTAACCGGTTTATTTAATGAGTGATGGTTGGCGCCTTTTTTGCGTTACAAAAAGTAACAGTCCCAGTACCGGAACAACAGACATATTGTTTTACGAAATAATAGGTTTAATAACATTGAATATAACAGCTACGTGAGTTGGAACAGGGCCGGCTCAAGCTTTTACGAGGCCATGGGCAGAATTTAATTTGGACCCCGCCCCCCAACCGTCCCCACCTCAGCAGCAGGTTTTTTTTTTTCATTACATGAGCTCACAAACTGGTGTAATATTAATTACCACATTTAAATATTTTAAACGTAAAAGTGGAGCATAGATGTGCACCTACAGAGAACAAGGTAACTAGTTTATGTTTTTATAACTTGGTACCGATGTGCAAAATGTGTAATCCCCACTACAAAAAACAAACCTAATTACATAAATACTATATCTTTTCAGTGATCCCTCATCTATCGCGTGGGGTACGTTCCAAGAGTGCCAGCTATTGGCGAAAAAAACGCAAAGTAGAGACACAATAGTTACTATATTATTTGCGTATCTACCGTATGTTAAAATTATGAATTTTTTTAGGAGGCATCGTAGGGCTTGAAATGCGACAAAAAATGTAGCGAAACTCACAAATCTCATTTACCCGTTCGTACAGGTTATTTCTTGCAGTATCTTCTATGGTACATAGGTGTTACAAAATGTTTTAATTGTTTTTTTTTTACAATTACCGTTTTTTTTCTTAGGCAAGAATATGCTTATTTTATCACGGAAATAATGAAAATATTGGAAATTTTAATCTAACGCAAAAACCCATGATAGAGCAAAAAATCTGCAATACAAGAATACATTTAAAATATTAAAAACGTGTATATGTATACAATATGTACAGTATATATACACACGTTTATACACATAAATATATATGTACTGTATATATCAATTTAGTAAATATTCTTCAGATGTTCTTGTGCTGATATCACTACTATAACTACATATATAAATATATATTTATGACATATATAACTCGTGGTCTGGTCTGTAACATTGTGCAGATGTAAAACACTGTCAGAGCCGACAGACCCGAGTGTGTAATTAATTTCAGTGCGAAAAATGAATATGTCAAAAGTAATTTACAAAATACAAAAAAAAAAAAGAGACTAATAGTCTTTGTTTTTTTAATAATTGATTTAGGCGGACAAAATAGGTGGTTTTAAAGAAGAGATTTTAAAATGACCACTTGTATATATTGCATGGGTGGTTTTAAAGAAGAGATTTTAAAATTGTATATATTGCATATTTACACGTTCAGTATTCATTTTTCAAAAACATTTCTTTCTCGGCTTTTGCCCTTCATCCTCCCACAGCCGTCGAAAGAAGAAACCCTCTGTAAAAACCCAGATCTTCGCTCGCTCATGGTAAGTTTACCAAAGGGACCTTATGACCTGGCAGAACCCAGTAACATCCCCAAAGGCAAACTGACCCTCACTGAGGCCCTGAAGGTCCTTGGCAGCCACCATCATCAGCCTCAAACATGGACACCAGAGAAGATTGCACAGGAATATTCTCTTGACTTGAAAGACACGAAGGCCGTTTTAGAGTTCTTCATCCCTTTCCGTGTTGAACTCATACAACCAAAGAACAACGGCGCCAAGCGGATAAATGCGTCTTAGCGATGGGAGATTAAAATATATATAACGTATATGTCTACTATTGTAAAGCTGATGACACGACCCTGGGATTGGACATAATAAACTTGATGTTTAATGTTGGATTTTCTTATTATTTTGGGATTAAAGATGGATGACTGCAATGCAAAATTATTTTAATGCTTCATATTTTGGTTAGATGAGTTCACAGAGGTTTTCATATACAGTGTTAGGAAATGGTATTAACCAACTCTTCCCTATAAGAAAATGCATCCCGCATCCCTTATCCCTTAGCTAACCATCAAGTTACAGGAGTTACAGTGAAATGTCAGCAGGCAGAGTGATATTTGATTACTGTCGTGTTAGTGGAATCTTGAAAATATACACAATTACAATTATTTTTGCATAAGGTAAAATGATGAGTTGTACTGCACAGCTACATGAATTTTATCCAGGCGTGGGTAACTTTTTGACTCGCGGGCCACTATTGTCCTTAAAATTGAACAGGGGGCCCAGGTCAGGAGCAAATAGATGGAGCGTTCGTGCAAACTAAGAAAAACGACATGTTAAAAGTCATGCATAAAGGCTAAAATGCTTTTATCATTTCCTATGCCATCTATTGGGGAAACGTGAGTATTGCAGGGAAAGGGCAGAAATATAATGATAATATAAATAAATTATATAATTTGGAAAGGTTTGGCAGGCCGGATTAAAAAGATGAACAGGCCGCATATGGCCCCTGGGCCTTATTTTGTTCATGCCTGATTTAATCAGTTGTAGCCTGCAGGTCAAAAAGTTTGTCCAAAACCTGGATTAGACCATGATGGTACTTCTAAAATGACGTTGGTTTCCTTTCGTCCGGAGCGAAGCTGAAATGTACGTCACAAGAAGAGGATCACAACATAAGAGAAATGTGGTATAGACAATGTGGTCTAGGGCAATTGGTCTAGGGCAGGGGTCCCCAACCCGGGGGCCGGGGCGCTTGGGAGCCCCCATGGACTACCTAAGCTGACCGTGGGTTAAGTTAAAAAAAAAACAACTAAAAATAAAACTAGTCAACAAGAGAGGCAGCAATTGTACTGTTTCATTTGAATCAGTTGCACTTTCCCGAGCTTTTTTAACGACACACTAGTGTTCCATAACACAGTGGATAGGAATTGTAGTATGAAAACACACTTCCGGTACTTCTTGCAAAGAAACCACTCTTTTTTACGTTGTGGGTAAATAGGCATGTCTTTCCTGCCATATCACAGTCTAATGTGTCTATGTTATCATTGAAGCGGAAAACAACGTGGTTTAAAAGGAATGTTTATTCAACAATAGAGCTTGACTTGTAAAATAGATGTATAAAAATAGATAAATATGACGAGATAATTATGGAAAGTGCTACATACAATCGTGATTTGTTTTTATGGGTTGTTATATGTATAGACGAATTCAATACGGATACGTTTAAACGATAAAATTGCGTTAAAGTTAACTCAGAAGAGTTCACCCAGTTTTCTATTTGATCTTTATTGGTCTAGAAGTATTCCAAATTTCACGGACGCCTAAGTTATCCATGTTTGTTATATCGAAAATGCCTATTCTTGCTTTGTTTTATTATATTTACTCATTTTAAGTAACAAATGCTACACATGTCCGAATTCCAGATGTGGACAATATAAAAAAAAGTCTAAGTTTGGGTGTAACGTAAATAAAAATCAGTTCTTATGTTGAAACGTCGGACCGGAAATGGAATGTGTGCTGCTGACGTCACGCTGCTGCAGGTAGTGAGAGCAGTTCGCAATACTGTAGTGATTATTTGGGTTCTTTTCACTCGTGAATTTCGAGAGGTGATGGTGGACGATGCGGCGCCAACATCTCGTAGTTAAAAAAAGAACATGAAGGACAAGGCTCGTAGAAAAGAGATGAAACGTATGTACAGACGCCTGATTTAAACGAGCGCCGTCCGTTCAGCTCCGTCTGTCTCTTGCTACACGGGAAACAAAGCGACACGAGCCGAATGCGGATTTCACTTTTATCCGGCTTCGTCTGTGTAGGTGGAGGCTGCGGTCTCTGTCGCCCCGAGGAAAACAACAACGACAGACATAGACCCGCAGCTTGAAAAGAGACTTTACAAACGGCGGTGGTTTTTGTAAACGAGGTGGAACTACTCCTCATGCCTTAACTACGACGAGAAGGTGAAAAGATTGTCGCCCGCGAAACGAGATGCAGCCGCCCGAAGACGTTTGAGTTTCAACGTGGAAGAGTCGACCAGGTAAGGGAAAAAAACACGCAAAAACACCGGTGTGCAAATAGCAGCACAACGATACAAGGCTTTAATGACAACCGCGAATATAACGAAATGCGTACGAAAGGGCTGTCGTACACCTTATTATTAACACAATTGTGACCGAAGGAAATTGGTACATCAAGTGACAAGGTAATATCTGAATATCTTAAAGATGTAAACCTAGCGGCTGTTTGTAGCGGCCATAAGAGGTTGCCTACTCATTTTAGGACCTCTACTTGAAAATGTCGTGTTTTTTCCTCCACCAAATCATCCATGTAACATTGTGTTACATATAATGCACCGTGCAGTGAAATCTATAATAAATAAATAAATAAATAAGCAAGGTAAATGTAATTTAAAAAAATTAATATCCTTATCACAGGAAGTGCTTACTATTGTAAACGTTGGTAGGGGCACTCACTGTATCTTTGTTTTTATTCACCTTTCCATTTACATGTGACCAATAAAAAAAGAAAGCTTGACTAGTAAAAGTAAAATCACTGGGGACAATTATGCAACTCTGTCATCTAGCTGTCATTTAACCCATGATTTCCCAAAGGGAACTCCCGAGGAATTAATATAGTTCTGTTTATCTAATCTATGCATTTTTTAAAAATGTAATGACACTGTGTTATTAAAGTTTAATGTTAAACTGTTTTTATACAATAACCTTGGTGGCATTTAGGTATTATTTATAATAACATTCTTAGGCATTCCAGGGGCTGGTTCGTTTGAATTGGCTTTTAGTATTTTTTTAAATTTTTTTTATATGTTTTGTCTGCTGTCGTTGTTGGGCATGGGGCATCTTTTGGTTTTTGGTTCAATGTCTTAGGAACATCACGTTACTGAAATTGTATTAGAGTCCACTTAAGAACAGTTGGACCTACATCCACAACAGTGTTCTTATTGGAGTTCACTGTCTCTTTGCCCTCCCCCAACTCCCAGCTAGTGTAATGAAGTATAAAAAACATCATCGAGTTTCGAGGTACTAAATTTCCTTTTAATAATATGTGATAGTGCTAAATACCGCATGTTTCTTCACTGTTTAATGGCACAGTGTGTAGACCTGCAAAGTTACTTGTCATAAATGCCAAGCTAACTATTCCTCATGGCCCTCGTAGCTAGTTAACGATATATATAAAAATAATGTTTAGTTTATAATATATTAGGTTATCCTTGTTTTTTTTTTTACATACATATATTGGGAGTACTTATGCGCTTATTACACAGAATGTAAACAAAGTTGTCTTCTGCATGTAGCACGGTACGCTTTGTTCGCTAACCAGTTCCCGTGCGGGATTGGTTTAAACATATGTATGTTGTGATAATGGAACATGACTTACAAAATAAATGTATGGGAGATGACAGTGTAACCAAGAAAAGCTTTAGGTCAAGGATGTCGTAAACAAAGGACTCACTGTGTTGAAAATAATTTTCTAGTGATGCTACAATCCCTCCAGGCAAGCAACTGTTCTCTGTAGCTTTGCTACATACATAAAATATTGGAACTATTTCCAATCACCTCAAGTATATTTTCCAGGAATGTTGCCCAAATCAACTCATGTTCCGTGTTAACCCTGCCATTATGTTTTCCCCAGTGGCATTCCCCACCTCTCCTTTTAGGACAAATACATTTTATTTAATTTGGATTTTTACATCACAGATCACAACAGAAGTGATTCAATGTTACCTTTATGATGAAACAAACCTGTACCTTGTCCTTAAACTAAACAGACAAAATAGCCTTGTGTTACTCTTCTTCTTCCCATGACGTGTAAATGGCAGTGCGGCCTCCGCATGATTGCTCATTTACAATTCTCTGCCCTCTGTGGCGCACATCAAAGTTCCATTTGATGCACACACACGTAGGCAAATACACAGGTTGACTTCCACCAGCGCGCAGAGAGACTAAGTGCCTCACAGTTAATGTACAGTACTTTCAGGTCAAGACAAACATCCGCAGTAGGCTAGAAGGAGGTCATACTGCAGGCTGCAGTAAACCCGAGGAAAATATGTTTAGATAACAATTGCTTATGTCCAGCGTGTTTTGTGCTGAAAGAGCTTTTCTGGGTCTTAAACATGTGATCACTGTTTAAATATTGATATATTTTTGTCATTTTGGGAGCTCAATTTGACCTGTGAGGTTACAGCACTTTATATAGTCCGCTTTACAACACAGGTTAATATCAGACGTTTGCTTAGCAGTCACTATAAATGATAACAGTCCGAAATAAGCTGTGTGTGATGTTTGTAAGTGATAAGAAGTGTTATTACAATATTTGACTTGTCTACATGCATGTTAAAAAAAAAAAGAGACTAATAGTCTTTGTTTTTTTTATAATTGATTTAGGTGGACAAAATAGGTGGTTTTAAAGAAGAGATTTTAAAATGACCACTTGTATATATTGCATGTTTACACGTTCAGTATTCATTTTTCAAAAACATTTCTTTCTCGGCTTTTGCCCTTCATCCTCCCACAGCCGTCGAAAGAAGAAACCCTCTGTAAAAACCCAGATCTTCGCTCGCTCATGGTAAGTTTACCAAAGGGACCTTATGACCTGGCAGAACCCAGTAACATCCCCAAAGGCAAACTGACCCTCACTGAGGCCCTGAAGGTCCTTGGCAGCCACCATCATCAGCCTCAAACATGGACACCAGAGAAGATTGCACAGGAATATTCTCTTGACTTGAAAGACACGAAGGCCGTTTTAGAGTTCTTCATCCCTTTCCGTGTTGAACTCATACAACCAAAGAACAACGGCGCCAAGCGGATAAATGCATCTTAGCGATGGGAGATTAAAATATATATAACGTATATGTCTACTATTGTAAAGCTGATGACACGACCCTGGGGTTGGACATAATAAACTTGATGTTTAATGTTGGATTTTCTTATTATTTTGGGATTAAAGATGGATGACTGCAATGCAAAATTATTTTAATGCTTCATATTTTGGTTAGATGAGTTCACAGAGGTTTTCATATACAGTGTTAGGAAATGGTATTAACCAACTCTTCCCTATAAGAAAATGCATCCCGCATCCCTTATCCCTTAGCTAACCATCAAGTTACAGGAGTTACAGTGAAATGTCAGCAGGCAGAGTGATATTTGATTACTGTCGTGTTAGTGGAATCTTGAAAATATACACAATTACAATTATTTTTGCATAAGGTAAAATGATGAGTTGTACTGCACAGCTACATGAATTTTATCCAGGCGTGGGTAACTTTTTGACTCGCGGGCCACTATTGTCCTTAAAATTGAACAGGGGGCCCAGGTCAGGAGCAAATAGATGGAGCGTTCGTGCAAACTAAGAAAAACGACATGTTAAAAGTCATGCATAAAGGCTAAAATGCTTTTATCATTTCCTATGCCATCTATTGGGGAAACGTGAGTATTGCAGGGAAAGGGCAGAAATATAATGATAATATAAATAAATTATATAATTTGGAAAGGTTTGGCAGGCCGGATTAAAAAGATGAACAGGCCGCATATGGCCCCTGGGCCTTATTTTGTTCATGCCTGATTTAATCAGTTGTAGCCTGCAGGTCAAAAAGTTTGTCCAAAACCTGGATTAGACCATGATGGTACTTCTAAAATGACGTTGGTTTCCTTTCGTCCGGAGCGAAGCTGAAATGTACGTCACAAGAAGAGGATCACAACATAAGAGAAATGTGGTATAGACAATGTGGTCTAGGGCAATTGGTCTAGGGCAGGGGTCCCCAACCCGGGGGCCGGGGCGCTTGGGAGCCCCCATGGACTACCTAAGCTGACCGTGGGTTAAGTTAAAAAAAAAACAACTAAAAATAAAACTAGTCAACAAGAGAGGCAGCAATTGTACTGTTTCATTTGAATCAGTTGCACTTTCCCGAGCTTTTTTAACGACACACTAGTGTTCCATAACACAGTGGATAGGAATTGTAGTATGAAAACACACTTCCGGTACTTCTTGCAAAGAAACCACTCTTTTTTACGTTGTGGGTAAATAGGCATGTCTTTCCTGCCATATCACAGTCTAATGTGTCTATGTTATCATTGAAGCGGAAAACAACGTGGTTTAAAAGGAATGTTTATTCAACAATAGAGCTTGACTTGTAAAATAGATGTATAAAAATAGATAAATATGACGAGATAATTATGGAAAGTGCTACATACAATCGTGATTTGTTTTTATGGGTTGTTATATGTATAGACGAATTCAATACGGATACGTTTAAACGATAAAATTGCGTTAAAGTTAACTCAGAAGAGTTCACCCAGTTTTCTATTTGATCTTTATTGGTCTAGAAGTATTCCAAATTTCACGGACGCCTAAGTTATCCATGTTTGTTATATCGAAAATGCCTATTCTTGCTTTGTTTTATTATATTTACTCATTTTAAGTAACAAATGCTACACATGTCCGAATTCCAGATGTGGACAATATAAAAAAAAGTCTAAGTTTGGGTGTAACGTAAATAAAAATCAGTTCTTATGTTGAAACGTCGGACCGGAAATGGAATGTGTGCTGCTGACGTCACGCTGCTGCAGGTAGTGAGAGCAGTTCGCAATACTGTAGTGATTATTTGGGTTCTTTTCACTCGTGAATTTCGAGAGGTGATGGTGGACGATGCGGCGCCAACATCTCGTAGTTAAAAAAAGAACATGAAGGACAAGGCTCGTAGAAAAGAGATGAAACGTATGTACAGACGCCTGATTTAAACGAGCGCCGTCCGTTCAGCTCCGTCTGTCTCTTGCTACACGGGAAACAAAGCGACACGAGCCGAATGCGGATTTCACTTTTATCCGGCTTCGTCTGTGTAGGTGGAGGCTGCGGTCTCTGTCGCCCCGAGGAAAACAACAACGACAGACATAGACCCGCAGCTTGAAAAGAGACTTTACAAACGGCGGTGGTTTTTGTAAACGAGGTGGAACTACTCCTCATGCCTTAACTACGACGAGAAGGTGAAAAGATTGTCGCCCGCGAAACGAGATGCAGCCGCCCGAAGACGTTTGAGTTTCAACGTGGAAGAGTCGACCAGGTAAGGGAAAAAAACACGCAAAAACACCGGTGTGCAAATAGCAGCACAACGATACAAGGCTTTAATGACAACCGCGAATATAACGAAATGCGTACGAAAGGGCTGTCGTACACCTTATTATTAACACAATTGTGACCGAAGGAAATTGGTACATCAAGTGACAAGGTAATATCTGAATATCTTAAAGATGTAAACCTAGCGGCTGTTTGTAGCGGCCATAAGAGGTTGCCTACTCATTTTAGGACCTCTACTTGAAAATGTCGTGTTTTTTCCTCCACCAAATCATCCATGTAACATTGTGTTACATATAATGCACCGTGCAGTGAAATCTATAATAAATAAATAAATAAATAAGCAAGGTAAATGTAATTTAAATGTATTAATTAAATTTAATAATTAATATCCTTATCACAGGAAGTGCTTACTAGTGTAAACGTTGGTATGGGCACTTACTGTATCTTTGTTTTTATTCACCTTTCCATTTACATGTGACCAATAAAAAAAGAAAGCTTGACTAGTAAGTAAGTAAGTAGTAAAATCACTGGGGACAATTATGCAACTCTGTCATCTAGCTGTCATTTAACCCATGATTTCCCAAAGGGAACTCCCGAGGGATTAATATAGTTCTGTTTATCTAATCTATGCATTTTTTAAAAACAGTGTTATTAAAGTTTAATGTTAAACTGTTTTTATACAATAACCTTGGGGGTATTTAGGTATTATTTATAGTAACATTCTTAGGCATTCCAGGGGCTGGTTCGTTTGAATTGGCTTTTAGTATTTTTTTAAATTTTTTTTATATGTTTTGTCTGCTGTCGTTGTTGGGCATGGGGCATCTTTTGGTTTTTGGTTCAATGTCTTAGGAACATCACGTTACTGAAATTGTAATAGAGTCCACTTAAGAACAGTTGGACCTACATCCACAACAGTGTTCCTATTGGAGTTCACTGAGTTGGACCTACATCCACAACAGTGTTCTTATTGGAGTTCACTGTCTCTTTGCCCTCCCCCAACTCCCAGCTAGTGTAATGAAGTATAAAAAACATCATCGAGTTTCGAGGTACTAAATTTCCTTTTAATAATATGTGATAGTGCTAAATACCGCATGTTTCTTCACTGTTTAATGGCACAGTGTGTAGACCTGCAAAGTTACTTGTCATAAATGCCAAGCTAACTATTCCTCATGGCCCTCGTAGCTAGTTAACGATATATATAAAAATAATGTTTAGTTTATAATATATTAGGTTATCCTTGTTTTTTTTTTACATACATATATTGGGAGTACTTATGCGCTTATTACACAGAATGTAAACAAAGTTGTCTTCTGCATGTAGCACGGTACGCTTTGTTCGCTAACCAGTTCCCGTGCGGGATTGGTTTAAACATATGTATGTTGTGATAATGGAACATGACTTACAAAATAAATGTATGGGAGATGACAGTGTAACCAAGAAAAGCTTTAGGTCAAGGATGTCGTAAACAAAGGACTCACTGTGTTGAAAATAATTTTCTAGTGATGCTACAATCCCTCCAGGCAAGCAACTGTTCTCTGTAGCTTTGCTACATACATAAAATATTGGAACTATTTCCAATCACCTCAAGTATATTTTCCAGGAATGTTGCCCAAATCAACTCATGTTCCGTGTTAACCCTGCCATTATGTTTTCCCCAGTGGCATTCCCCACCTCTCCTTTTAGGACAAATACATTTTATTTAATTTGGATTTTTACATCACAGATCACAACAGAAGTGATTCAATGTTACCTTTATGATGAAACAAACCTGTACATTGTGCTTAAACTAAACAGACAAAATAGCCTTGTGTTACTCTTCTTCTTCACATGACGTGTAAATGGCAGTGCGGCCTCCGCATGATTGCTCATTTACAATTCTCTGCCCTCTGTGGCGCACATCAAAGTTCCATTTGATGCACACACACGTAGGCAAATACACAGGTTGACTTCCACCAGCGCGCAGAGAGACTAAGTGCCTCACAGTTAATGTACAGTACTTTCAGGTCAAGACAAACATCCGCAGTAGGCTAGAAGGAGGTCATACTGCAGGCTGCATGTGGACCTTGATAAATAGTCCCGCAGTAAACCCGAGGAAAATATGTTTAGATAACAATTGCTTATGTCCAGCGTGTTTTGTGCTGAAAGAGCTTTTCTGGGTCTTAAACATGTGATCACTGTTTAAATATTGATATATTTTTGTCATTTTGGGAGCTCAATTTGACCTGTGAGGTTACAGCACTTTATATAGTCCGCTTTACAACACAGGTTAATATCAGACGTTTGCTTAGCAGTCACTATAAATGATAACAGTCCGAAATAAGCTGTGTGTGATGTTTGTAAGTGATAAGAAGTGTTATTACAATATTTGACTTGTCTACATGCATGTTGACATTGGCCGCTACACATCTAGCAACCGTCAAGAAAAAGCTATTTATTTCCTCTGTGCATATTTAGACTACCTACTCTACTTCTTTGGGAAAATACTCTTTACTTTCTCATTTTAAAGTGTTAATACGCCTCCCTGCAGCTCTTAAACCATATATTTGAAATGTAATCATGTATTTATTTACTATTTCATACTTTTAATGATAACTAGGGATAGGTTGATGCAATACAGAGGATCAGTGTCGGACGATGTTGGTCAAAATTTTAGAATCATTTGCACGTCATTGCCAAAAACAGAGACACTATCACCTTAGCAACGGCAACTTGTGGCATGCTGGAGGAGAAAAAGGTATCAGATTGATATTGGTATTGGTAGATATTCAAAATTGCAGTATTTGGGATCAGACATCGGGATCAGAATCGTCGTCCCATTTCTGTTGACATTATTGGTAGATATTCAAAATTGCAGTATTGGGATCAGACATGAGAATCGTCGTCCCATTTCTGTGACATCTCTTGCAGATCCAAATCCGGGATACAGTATATTTTATACATACAGTTTCAAAAACCCATGAAGTCGTGAATCCACGAAAGACGAACCGTGAAATAGCTATGGACTACTGTATATGTTAGCCTGCGCTAACAACCTTTTGCAAAAGTTCAGCTTGCTTTTAGTCTAGTGTCGTGAAAACGTGCATGCATGTTAAAACATTATGTCCCCTCGCTTCTGAATATACCTTTAATATTTTATATAATACTATGCAATACAACAAAAAAACACATCTGCCTAAAATTGTACTTTTCTTATCATGTTTTATTTTTAAAATTAAGATGCTAATGTCTGTACTCTTGTTTGTAATTTTTTTTTTCTCTAGGTTTTTTGCAGGATGTGTTTCATTAGCAATGCATATATTTACAGGGTAGCTGTAAGAGTGCTGACTATGCACATTACGTCTATACTCCAAAATGCCTTAATTAATACTAGAACATAGAAAAACAATTCGGAAGTCAACTAGAAAAATGCTCAGTTTAATTTAGATGATTAACATCCCTAGTCCTTTGAAGTGCTGAGAGTTTTTATAATTATTTGTATAATGAGGTATTTTTTAAAATATATTTCTGATCTCTCTCTATAAGTCGCAGGAACCTGAAGCCATGAAGACCCCATCAAGTTCCACTGATCTGGAAACACTGGCAACTGCACCATGCTCAGAGTGAGCTCACCGGCAGCGATGCTTGCTCCACCTCGAGCAGAATGGTTTACTTCACTAGCATTCCCCTGCAAGAGGCCAGGGACAACAACAGCAGTCTCTGCTGCCTCTTTACGGGGCTGTTGAGCTTTTCACCTAAGCTGGAGATGGAAAACATCTCCGCAGCGAATGCCACGCCCCCAGAGTCAGCCACGCCTACGGCGAAGGCCGCAGAGACTCTGCATGGTGTCAGTTTACCTCTGCAGGTCTTCTTTTGCTTTTTTATGGTGGCCATCTTGCTTGTGGCGCTGTTGGGCAACATGGTGGTTTGCGTAATGGTGTACCAGAGATCTGCCATGCGCTCGGCTATCAACACCCTCCTTGCAAGCCTGGCATTTGCCGACATGATGCTGGCCATCTTGAACATGCCCTTCGCTCTGGTCACGGTCATAACAACCGACTGGATTTTCGGGGACCTCTTCTGTCGCGTGTCAGCCATGCTCTTTTGGTTCTTCGTGGTGGAAGGCGTGGCCGTGCTGCTCATAATAAGCGTTGATCGTTTTCTAATAATCGTCCAAAAGCAAGATAAGCTCAGTCCGCAGCGGGCCAAAGTACTGATCATGGCCACGTGGGGTTTGTCCTTAATATTTTCATTCCCTTTGGCTGTCGGGTCCCCTCCATTACAGGTCCCACCCAGAGCCCCTCAGTGCGTTTTTGGCTACAGCACCAAGCCTGGCTACCATGCCTACGTACTGATCCTGATGCTAGTTTTCTTCTTTATTCCATTTATGGTCATGCTGTACACGTTCATGGGGATCCTGAACACCATTCGCCACAACGCCATTCGAATTCACAGCCACACTGACGGTATCTGCCTGAGCCAGGCCAGCAAACTTGGCCTGCTGAGCCTTCAGAGGCCCTTTCAAATGAACATAGACATGAGCTTCAAGACCCGTGCCTTCACCACCATACTCATCCTCTTCTCTGTGTTTACGGTGTGCTGGGCACCGTTCACCGCCTATAGTTTAGTGTCAACCTTCAGTGACGGCTTCTACCAGAAGGACAGCTTTTTTCAAGTCAGCACGTGGGTCCTGTGGCTGTGCTACCTCAAGTCGGCCCTTAATCCACTCATTTACTACTGGCGAATCAAGAAGTTCCGAGATGCCTGCCTTGACCTAATGCCCAAGTACTTTAAGTTCCTTCCTCAGTTGCCTGGAAACACAAAGAGGCGCATACAGCCCAGCGCAGTGTACGTGTGTGGTGAACATCGCTCCGTGGTTTGAAGTCAAATCCAACAATGTTTACCGTTAAATCTCCGCAGAATAAATACAGCTATCTTTGGTCTGATCTGTGAAGTCGTTCCCGACTGAAAGTGGCACCCACTGAAATAAAATACAATGCAAAAGAACGATGCTACGCATACTGAACTGCATGACTCACAACTATTGTAGGTTATACCATTGGCCGAGATGACCTTTATACAATAACTACAGCCAAAAATGACTGCGGCCCATATATTGCGACAGCCATTCAACGCAGACTGATATGTGTTCCCGTGAATCTTAAGTTTTACACTTCTCATTGACCTTAACTCGATGTATGTTTGCCACTTGTAGTCCGATTGCCATTTTACTAAGGCCAGTGTGCTCCATGACCAAATCCAAAAATACCTTTGTTAACAGTGGTCATTTCTCAGCAGGTGAAAAACTAATTTAAAAAATTTGCTTTTTTACTAATGCTAAGCCGCAGTTGTATAACTTACGTACCCGTTCCCTTTCCTGTCGTTATCCAAAATCACAATTAAGATATAGATGTAATTTGGAACCATAACAGTTGATATTATATTTTAGTTTCTCTTGTGTGGAAATACATAGTTTCTGCCACATTTAAACTTTCCTGGCAATATTTTGAATATTTAATCCATTCATTTTAAGTGCTACAACTTGTACAAGGGCATATATATGTATATATATATAATATATATATGTGTATATATGTGTGTGTATATATGTATATATATATGTGTGTATATATGTATATATAAGTGTGTATATATGTATGTGTGTATATATGTGTATGTATATGTATATATATGTATATATAGATTTACACATATGTACATACACTACCGGTCAAAAGTTTTAGAACACCACACTTTTTCCAGTTTTTTACTGAAAATTATTCAGTTTATTGTGTCACTGCACTCTGAAATGAAAGCATAGAACAAATAAGCAATTTGAGTTGAAAAAGAAATCATGGAATCAATTTATAGACCAAAATGTATTCTAAATTTTAGAATAGCCAGCTTTGGCAGATATAACAGCTGAATACATTTGTGGCATTCTTTCTACAATAGAAATCAAATATTCTTCAGAACGTTCTTCCCAAGTCTGTTGCAGAAGTTCCCATAAATGTGTGGCACCAGTTCATCCCAAACCAGCTCGATGGGGTTTAAGTCTGGAGACTTCAAGCTTACCATCTTGTTCTTTTTTCCTGAGGTAGGTTCGGCATAGCTTGGACTTGTGTTTTGGGTCATTATCTTGCTGTAGGATGAACCTCTGACCAACTAGGC